CAAACCGACACAAGAGCAACAATGGTTGCGTGGCTGTTATAAGGGATAAATTAAAAAATAGCCAGATTTACAAATGGTCGTTCAAAAATAGCCTAGTTTAAAAAGTAATCGAAATTTAGCCACTTTTTATGTAAAAATAAATCTGAACGAAGACACTGTTCAAAATTCGAAAAAATACTCCAGCATAATATGCTGGAGTTCCAGTATATTATACTGGAACTCCAGTCTAATATACTGGAATTGCAGTATAATATACCGGTCCAGCATAATATACTGGAGTTTGGAGCATCGGTGCTCCAGTCTCCAGTATATTATACTGGAGCCAGCAAAGTATACCGGTCCAACATAATATGCTGGAAGTTCATACACAGGTGCATCGAACTCCAGTATATTATGGTGGACCGGTCTCTATTGCAGCAAAATAATGAATATTTTTTATTGATTTTGTAAATGCTGTCTATTTTTGAATGACCAGTCCGAAAACTGGTTAGAGCGTGCTATTTTTACCTATTATAAACCATGGTACATGATTCATGGCCCATGGATGTTATCTTGATCCACAAAGGTAAAGCTATGAAAGAAAAATCCTCTGAGCAATTCATAACTACTTTCTCAAAACATAAAGACTATTTGCTACGTAAAATAGACATGTAGTAAGCATTAAACACAAATAACAAATTAGCCATTAACCAAAAGAAAGAAAAACTGATTCAACTGTTTCCCTCGGAAACCTTAAATGAATGGAAGGTCTTATAGTTTTCTTATAATAATTATAAAAAAAAAATTAAAAAAAACACACACACACACACACAAACCTAAAAGTTCATGATCTTCAAATTGTGTTGGCTAATACTCTTCCTCCTCCTCCTCCTCCTCGTTATCATCATCAGCAGTAGTAGCAGCACCATCATCATCATCATCTATCGGAGAAATAGAGATCAGTTAAGTCAGTAGCTGTAAACTTAAGTGTTAAAATCTAATTAAACAACAAAGCCTACATGAAGAAAATGTGTAGATAAAAAATTATGATCTATTTTTAAAGTTTTTATTTTTAATTGATAGTAGTTGTACTGCAAGAACATTCACCTTTGGTTTTTTTCAAATGTTCACTTTTATATATTTTGACACCCTTTAATAACATTTCTGACTTTGCTAGTGATAGAGATCCGGAACTCAGAATTCTGATAATCTTCAACTTGTGTTTCCCAAATATCCCTTGCTGACTTGTCAACGGAATCATTGCATATCCTTACCACAATGGATTTTAGAGAAGAGATGTCTCTGAAACAAGAAGGAATCTCCTCAAGAGAGTAACAATGACGCAAAACCAAGTGTTCAAGGTTAGGAAAGGCATCATCGGGAACAGTCCATTCTCGTAAGGTGATTATATTGTGTAATTTCAAGACTTTGAGTTGAGGGAACTCGCCATTGCTTACTTTCCATTTCCTATCTTTAAAGTACACCAACTCCAGTTTGAGTACTTGAAGATTCTGAAGGGAAGCAATTCCTATTAAGTGCTGAGGATGCAGGTGAAAATATTTTAGTTTCAAGTTTTTGAGATTTGGTGCAGAGATGCAAAAGGGGATTTTTTTTCTTTGGATTTGCATTTTGAATCTTGAGCGTTTCAATCCCTGTTGGAAAATTCAGTACATAGTACTGATAGTTGTCAACACCCTTGACTCTGCATCTCAGTTCCCGAAGATTAGGTGTTTTTCCCAACATCAATTCTGCATCCTCGACACAAGAAAAATATGGAGTGGAAAGAGTGTTGAGATCATAAAGTGTTTTTGAGTTGTTATGTAATTCTTCTGCATTTTCTATGGTAAAGCTGCATTTGGAAATATGAAGATGTCTCAATTTAATCATCTCCCAGAGTGTAATGGGTACTGACATTTTGCCTTCATCATTGTGTATTATCAGAGTTTCAAGATTCCAACAATTGGCTATGAATGATGAAATCGACGACTTCCAAGTTTTTGCAGCAAGATACCTCAAGTACACTAGATCAGTTGGGAAAGAATCAATACAAGTGAACTCTAAATCAATACAAGTGACTTGTCAACGGAATCATTGCTTACGTGAATATATTTGAGACACACAACACATTGCACGAATGTCAAAGTAAGAAACAATTGACCTGTCAGAGTAGAGTCTGTAGGCTAGAGTCGTCTTTCCTAGACCTGGCATGCCGACAATTGATATAACATCTCGCCCTTTGGTTCCTCTTATTAGTAGGTACCTTAGATCTTCTATGACGTCCTTAAAACCCACAAGTTCATCGTTCATCATTGGAGACCTTGCCAAATTTGATGATGTATGAATTGTGCAGGTATCCATTGCATCCTCAACTATGTTTTTCCCCTGAATATCTGCCACCTCTGCTTTGATAAGAGTAATCTCCTCCATGATATCCAAGAGCCAATGCTCTAGGCACCAGACATGAACTTTGCATATACAAGCATCAACATGTATTCTACCTCATATGCTTTGTTAATCAATTGTGTAGCACAACGTTGAATTTTGTCGAGGTCATTGTGTTGCGCTTGTGAAACAGCCTTCAAAAAAGGTTGGAAGCTCTCAAAATCCTTCTGAATGATTTGAAGTTGTTTCATGACAGAAGCTAGTGAATATGAATGGCGGCTTTGGAACTCCTTCAAGTTGTTTTAAAGGAAATCAACATAGCCTAGTCCATTAATCCCTGGCAATTTAGATTGGAACGCCTTCCGAATGGTGGGATAAATCACTGCGCTAATTATGTGTTGAATGTTGTCCGGCAACTGATCAAGAACTTGTGCAGGGTTCACTTCTGCAAGTGCTATGTCTTCCTTCTCCTCACCCTCGCCTTTATATAACGAGTAAACGAGAAGCCATACATCAATAATGACAGTGTCAATATATCGAAGAACTGACAGAAGTTCAAGATCTTGTATCGGCACATGGATGATATTGGCTCTCAAGAGGTTGAGCATCTCCTGAAGGTTTGCCAAGTGATCATTCAAAGCAACTCTCTGACTGGAGTTGCTATTAGCTGGCAGTTCCGCCAAATTGTGTAGAATTATCTTCACAAAACTAGCTTCGGTGTCAGCTGCTGGCTCACGTTGGATGTTGGGATACCATCCTGACTGTATTGTCGCCTTCAAAGATTGCAAGACATTAACATAGATCTCGCGGATGCATGGTTGAATGGGCTTAATCCTCATTCGCAAGAAATCAGAAAGCAAAACATTTATTTCTTCTGGAGCCAAGTCTGGTAAATACAACCAGAAAAACATTGATGCGTGGCCAGCCACAGCAAAAACATGAGTGAAGAAATTAACATGATGTTGGTTCTGAGGCTCTACGAACCTCTCTGAAACAAAGCAGAAGAAATTATGCAGCAAGTTCACTTCCTTTAAAATAACTTCCACATGTTCCATTGTTTAGGGAACATAAAGAAGTGAACACGGATCATCCATCTTCACTAGATCAGGAAGATTCTCTACCACGGAATAGATGAATTCTGTAACAAATTTGGAAATAGCAATACCATCCTTGTTGGCTGAAAGTGGTAATGATATGTTAGGAAAGGAGTAATTGTTTTTAATTTCCATCTTAATCAACCAAATCTCGTTTTGAACCTTAGAGGTATAGAAATCAAAGTACTCGGCTAGGTACAATTCAGAAAAGTCAACTGCAGCATCTTGAAACAGAGTTTGGATTTTCTGAGTGACATCTAGCATGTTGGGTTCATCTGTGAAGCTCTGAGCAAGCGGTAAAAGATATCCAGGAATTTGAATTCATGTTTAAAGAACTTGACTATATCTATAGAAGTTTCAGGGAAGTACAAAATATCGTCAAGTTGTTGCAGACGCTCAAAAAGACAATTCTTTGAAGACAGAAATTGGTTAGGAGACATCTTTTCTCAGAAGTGGTGAGTGACTAAAAGAAAATGTGATGAAGTTGAACAGCAAACTAGAAGGAGAGAGTACTCAGATGATTTGACACTAAGCCTTTACATACAAAACAACATTTATATTACTTAGGAGGTTCTTTTTTTTTTTTCTCTTTGGATTCCTCTTCGTTAGAATTTTATAATAGTTGCTAGCTATCATACAACCGCTCAATAAATTTCCATTCAGATTTTATATCAACAATTTGCATTAATTGTCACATTACAGTTGACTTCAAGGACAAAGAGCAGTATCATTTACCAAGTCATTTTTTTCTGTATTCGGTTTCACATGGCTCTTGACCTTTCTAAAGGGAAAGTCCTTTTCTATTAGGATTGGTCAACTTATATTTGATTATGTTAGGATTGGTCAACTAAAATTAAGCTTTACTTCTTGATTAAACAAATATTATAACCAGCAAGTACTTCTTGATTTATGGAATGCATGTGGAAAAAGATTCCTTCTGTTATCATGTGCAGCGACAAGTTTATAGTAATTCACATTCTCATAGCAATTATAAAATGAAGGATGGTAGACTTCAAGAGGGGACAAAGAGTAAAGTCATCTTTCACTATTAGAAATAGTCATATAACATGGATAGAAGATTATCATATCACATGGATATATAGATCTATAAATTCAGGTTCACATCAGACTTTAGACATAGCAAATGCAACTTCTATCATAAGAAATAGTCAGTAAGGGCAGCCCGGTGCACAAAACATCCCGGTGCACAAAACATCCTGTATTCACACAGAACAAGGATATTCTTGGAGCTAAATTACACAATAAGGATATAGATGGACGTACTGCCCTTGGTAGAGTTGCTAGCAATGTAATCAAGGGCTATATCCTTAGCTTTTTTGTCCTGATTAGCCTACTACATAAAATAACTAAAAGATGCTAAATTTAGTTTACTGAATTATGGGACTTGAAATTTACTTCCAACATACTTTCAATCACTTTCAGGCATTTTAACAAACAGGTCAGGGGCATCTCATACTGACTTACCAAATACAATAAGATAACGAGACCAAAAGCCAGTAAATACCTTGAGAGAAACAACTGCAATGGAACAAAAAGAATGGCATTTCATGACACGCATGCAATAGAACTTCTATTCTTAGGAATGAGTATTGAAATAATGAAATGCACCTTATCATATTTCCAGCTGAAGGCATACATAGCTGCTGTACAGTGAGTAATATTTAACAAATATGCCAAAAACAATAGTAACTTCGTTTTATTTTAATGATTTAAGTGTAAAATATGGGTTAAATCAAGGTGGTTTTTCTTTTAGTAATTAGTTAACTTTTATTACCTAGTGAAGAATTACAGCTCAGAGAAAGAAAGAAAAAAAAAAAGATGTTCTAAAGTTGGACATGCATCCCCAACTTTAGGAAAACAAGAAACTCCTTGGGGTGCGGCCCTTCCTCGGACCCTGTCGTAAACGCGGGATGCCTTGTGCACCGGGCTGTCCAAGAACTATCTATTACCTGTATTACAGCAACTACTATATTCAAGAATCAGGTTGCAGTATATGTCATGAGCAGCTCACATTTAGGGGTAATAATTCAATTAATCAAGCCTTCTAGTCAACCTGGATTTTATACTTCCTTTACAGAAAAACTTCTTGAATGATCAATTTAACAATCTGCTCAGCTTGCCTCTGTTTTGCCTGGAAAATCCTCGTGTTTCTTTCTTGTCAATGAAATAAACACATCCAGCTAAGGTTTCGATATATCTACTCACTAGCAGTGCTACCTTTGACATGACAGTATAGCCAGGCTAGTACATATCTCCACTCCATCATCATCATCTGTAGGAGAAAAAAAGAAATCAGTTAAATCAATAGTTCTAGATTAATATTAAATCTAATTAAGCCTACATGAAGACAGTTCCTAGTTAAGTGTTTGCGTTCAGAATACTAATTGCTTTTGATGAGTCATTTTTAGCGTTAAAGTAATCTTTCTTCATTTTTTTAAGATAAACAGTATCATTATTCAATAGATTTTACCAAAATTGTTACTCTAGATATAAATAAGTAAATAACAAAGTTCCTGCTTCTAGCTACCAGCCCCTCCACCTTGCTTTATAAATCATTTGGATAACCAATCATCTGCGTTTGTTTTGACAAAGAATATTTATGAGGGTTGACTTTCCTTGTTAACTTGTGTTTATCCATCTTTTTATTTCTAACTATTCATTTTTGCTTGATAGTACTTATTTTAAGAACTTTTACATCTAATAGATAAAATCAAATAAAACACAAAAGCTTTAACAGAGGTGTCAAACAAAATGAATAATTAGTAAAAGGCATGTTAGAAGAATAGGAGAATTGATTTAACTGAGTTTTAAAATGAGACTTGAATGTCCTCAGTGGGTATACCTGAATCAGAGTTGGTACTTTCGTCTCTCGTGGATAAAGATCTCGAAGCCAGTATTCTGATAACCTTCAACTTGTGTTTCTCGAATATCCCTGGCTGACTTGTCAACAGATTCATAGCATTTTCTTACCTCAATGTATTTTAGAGAAGAGATCTCTCCGAAAGCAGAAGGGATCTCCTTAAGATATTCGCATTCACGCAATACCAAGCGTTCAAGCTTAGGAAAGGCCTCATCATCGGCGACATCCCATTCTTCAAATCCAACTATTTCTTGTAGTTTCAAGACTTTGAGTTCAGGGAAGTCGCCACTGCTCACTTTCCACACCTTCTTGTCAAATTTAATGCTTTTCATTTTCAGTACTTGAAGGTTCTGAAGCAACGCAATGTTTGATAAGTGCTGAGGATGCAGGCAATACCTCTCTAGTGTCAAGTTTCTGAGATTTGGTGCGGAGATGCAAATAGGGATGGTTATAGTGTGAAACATGAATGGGCAACAAATCTTCAGCGTCTCAATCTTTGCTGGAAAATTCAATACATAGTACTGAAATTTGTCAACATCCTCATCTAGGAATGTGCATCTGAGCTCCCGAAGATTAGGTGTTTTTCTCAAAATCAATTCCGCATCCTCGACACAAGAAAAATATGGAGCCGTAAAAGATCTCAAATCATAAAGGCTTTTCGAGCTGTCGAGTGAATATTTTTCATCTATTATATTGAAGCTGCAACGGGAAATATGCAAATGTCTCAAATTAACCATATTCCAGATTGTAAGGGGCAGTGACATTACTCCATAATTTTGTAATATCAAAGTCTCTAGGTTCCAACAATAGGTAATGATGTTTGTGTCCAACGAATTATGAGTTCGTGCAGCAAAATATCTCAAGTAAACTAGATCTGTTGGGTAAGAATCAATAGTAGTGAACTGCAAATCCAACACTTTTAGAAACTTGAAGCTGTAAAAAATATGAGAGACAGTATCAAATGCAAGGCAATTATTATGTACAATTATAGAGCCAACATGTGACCAACACGTGCTCCATTCTTCAATACGATACCATTTACCATAAATGGACATGCGATGAGCAAGTTGCTCGAGACAGGAAACATTGGAAGAAGGATTGGCATTTTGTTCCCTGTAAATAAAGAAATTAGAATAAAATCATAATATAACTTGAACATTTAATTAGTTGAACCAAAAAACGTAGCACTAATTGGTATATTACCGTTTCATCCATTGGACAAGATTCTCTTCCTTTGCTCTCACCTTGCAGAAATCATGCAATAGGTCATGAATACGACATGCTTTGATCTTACCCCCAGAACTCCTCTTAGTCCCCATCACTAGATTTCTTCCAATAAGATTCCCCAAATAACTTTCCGCTATATCCTCCAAACTCTTGCCTTCACAACTTTTTATGAATCCTTCTGAGATCCACAACTCTATTAACTTCGAAACGTTAATCACATTGTCCTCTAAAAATGCTCCAAAGTAAAGAAAGCAAGACCTTAAATGATAGGGTAAAATTTTATAACTATTTTCTATTATGGCCCTTGAGTCATTGTGAATGTGAGGAACTAAATTATTAGCCACTTGTGCCCAACATTCTTCTTTCTTCTCTACTTCTGCTAGGACACCAGCCACCAAAGCAACTGAAAGAGGCAATTGACCACACTTTTCTGCTATTTGTCGTCCAATATTCATTAGCAGAGGAGGGCAACTTTCTTCCCCAAATACTTTTTTTCTAAGTAACTTCCAACTTTCTTCATTGTTAAACATACGAAGCGAAAAGGGATTACTTTGAAATCTGGCGTACTCTGCAATTTCACGATTTCGTGTTGTTATAATGATTCTACTTCCATTATTGGCATCTTGAAAACAACCGATTAAATCATCCCACACACTAGCTTCCCACACATCATCAACAAGGATAAGATATCTTTTAAAAAATAAAGCTCTGCGAAGCAGATCAGCTAATTCATTAGCTTTCTTTTCTCTAAATTCAGCGTCTCACTGATAACATCAAGTAGAATCGCCAATAACAAGTCTTTACGTGAATATACTTGAGACACACAACATTGTGCACGAATGTCAAAGTGAGAAACAACTGACCTGTCAGAGTAAAGCCTGTAGGCCAAAGTCGTCTTGCCTAGACCCGGCATACCAACAATCGAGATAACATCTCGCCCTTTGGTGCCTTTTACTAGTTGGTCTCTTAAATTTTCTATAACATCGTGAAAACCCACAATTTCTTCATTCATCCTTGGAGACCTTTCCAAATTTGATGCCGTATGAGCTATGACAGTGTTCATTGCATCCTCAACCATTTTCTTTTCATGAATCTCTGTAACCTCATCTTTGACAAGAATGGTGTCCTCCACGATATCCAAGAACCAATGTTCGAGGCACCATACAGGAGCGTTTTTGCATATACAAGCATCAATTAAATATTCTATCTCATATGCTTTGCCAATCAATTGTGTAGCACAACGTTGAATTTTGTCGATGTCATTGTGTTGCTCTTCTGCAACAAACTCTAGAAGAGGTTGCCAGCTCTCGAGTTCCTTCTGAAATCTTTGAAGTAGCTTCGTGGTAGAAGCTAGTGAATCTAAATGGCGGCTTTGGAACTCTTTCAGGTTTTTTAAAATGAAATCAACATAGCCTAGTCCGTGAATTCTTGGCAAGTAATTAGAATGAAACAACTTCCGAATGGGCACGAGTTTCACCGTGATGATTATTTGTTGAATGTTTCCCAACAAATCAAGAAATAGTGCAGGGCTCACTTCTCCCAGTGCCACAACTTCCTTCTCCTCCTCCTCACCTTTATATAATGAGTAAACCACGAGTCCAGCATCAATAATGAAAGTGTCAATATCTCGAAGAAGAACTTTAAGATGTTGTATTGGCACATGGATGATATTGGCTCTCAAGCAGTCGAGCCTCTCCTTTAGGATTACCAATTGATCCTTCAAAGCATCACTCTGACTGATGTTACTATTATTTGGAAGCTCCGCCAAATCATGTTGGATAGTCTCCAAAAAATTGGCTTCACTGTCGGCTGCACTCTCATGATTTTGGATGTTGGCACGCCATCCTCCTCCTGATTGTATTGTCGATTTTAAGGCTTCCAGGAGTGCAATGTAGATCTTGCGGATGCTAGGCTGAATGGGCTTAAACTTGATTTGCAAGAAAAGAAAAACATTGATTTCACCTACAACACTCACATCTTGATTTTCATAGCCATAGCTTGAAAAATACAACCAGACAAGCATTGATGCATGGCCGGTCACAGCTAAAACATGACTGAAGAAATTAGCAAGATGTTGGCTCTCATGCTCTATGAACCTCTCTGAAACAAAGCAAACAAAAGTTCGCAGCAGTTTCATTTCCTTTAAAACATCATCAATATGTTTCTTAGTTTCTGGAACATAAAAAAGTGATGAGCAAGGATCATTGACTAGATCACGAAGAATCTCCACCACAGTATCCATGAAATCCGTTACAAATTTGGGAATAGCAATACCATCCTTGTTGGCTGAAATTAGTGGTAAGGATGATATTTTAGGAAAGGAGTATTTGGCTCTAATTTCCATCTTAATCAACCAAATCTTGTATTGTACGTTAAAGGTACAAAAATCAAAGTACTCGGCTAAGTGTAATTCAGAAGAGTGAACTGAAGCATCTTGAACCAGAGTGTGGACTTTCTGACTGATATCTAGCATGTTTGGTTGAATATCTATGAAGCTCTGCAAGTAGAGAAAAATACCCAAGAATTTGAATTCCCTTATAAAGAATTCGACTATTTCTCTCGAATTCGAAATATTGCCAAGTTGTTGCAGGCGTTCAAAAAGACCATTCATTGAAGACAGATATTGGTTATAAGACATTTTCTTCTCAGAAACTGTGATGAAGTTGAGCTGCAAAGCCTTTACATACAAAATAACATTCTATACTACTCTTTGGATTCCTCTTTGTTTAGAATTTTATATTAGTTGTCAGCTATCATATAACCACTCAATAAATCATTTTTGTTTTATGTTTCTTTTGTATTTATTCTTTTTTCACATGGCTCTTGACCTTTCTAAAGGGCATGTCCTTTTCTATTAGGATAGGTCAACTTATATTTGATTAATGTAAGGATTGGTCAGTTAAAATGAAGTTTTACAGCTTAAACAAACATTGGTAGACTATGTATGCAGTTAAAAGTTAGTTTTTACATGCAAATTTCTCAAAACCTGATAAGAGATGCTCAAGCAAGGCACATAAGTTAGTGACTGGTATTAAAAGAAAAATGGACTAGAAATACAAGTCTGCAACTTTTTTCAATACAACCCAAGGAGAGATGACCTAGTTACCCTTTTTCAGAATTTTGAATTCCGGTATTAGAGTTTATAAATAAAAAAAGGGAGAGAGAATAATTAAAGTATAGAATGCATGTGGCACGAGATTCCTTTTGTTATCATGTGCAACGACAAGTTTATAGTAACTTACATTTCAATAGGAATTTAATATTAAAGATGGTAGACTTCAAGGACAAAGAATAATAAAGTCATCTTTCACCATTAGAAATAGTCATATAACATGGATATAAAATATATCATATCACATGGATATACATGGATCTATTAATTACTATCAGATTGACATTAGCATTTTGACATAGCAAAGGAAACTTCAATCATATATGATCACATGGATATCATTTATCACTTCACATGGAAACAAATAGATCTAAACGAAACAATATAAAAATCTTTAGATCCGAATAATTACACAAGAAAACAGCAACTAAAAGAGTTATAATTTATGTTGCGCGGACTCTCCAAAATGTAGCCGCACCCGTGTCGGATCCTTTAAAAATGCTCCGACACGTATTCGGCCACATTATAACCAGATGAAAGATAATGATATTAATTCTTAACAATAAAAGAGAGACTTCAAATTAGCAATTGGAAAAAAACATACCCAGGAATTGAGGAGTTCCTTACATAATTATATTGGGCCTTGGTTGAATCGACTGATTTCGAGCGGGAACCTCAAATTTAACCTAAGTTCATCCATTTTCGTCGTTTCTCCTATGCCGCTTTGCCATCTCATAGCCTGTTTGGCCAAGCTGCAAAAATCAGCTTATTTTGAGAAGTGCTTTTTTTTAAAAGTGCTTTTCTCAAAAGTACTATTGGTGAGAAGCAGTTTGTGTTTGACTAATTAGTTTGAAAAGCACTTCTGAGCATCAATTAGTGTTTGGCCAAGCTTTAAAAAATTGCTTCTAAGTGTATTTTTCTCAAAAGTGCTTCTCAAAAAAGTGCTTTTGGAGAGAAACTACTTTTTTCTGCTTCTCCAAAACTGCTTCTGCTTCTCCTCAAAAGTACTTTTTTTCCTTCCAAAAGCTTGGCCAAACACCTCAAATTTTGGCCGAAAGTGCTTTTGGCAAAAAAAAAAAGCACTTTTGGCCAAAAAGAAGCTTGGCCAAACAGGCTATCAGTCTCTAACGCTCTCCGTGTGTTTTTCGTTGTGCGTATGAGTGAGTATGTGCTTGGGAGATTTGAATTACCCGCCATTTTATTCTCGCTAAGAAAGGGATTTGGGCAAATCACTGGGGGCATTTGAGATTTTGATTTTTGGGTAAAATAGATGAACTTACCTGTGTTACGTGCCAGGTAATAGGAGAGGGTATACTTGCCTTTGCATGTTGTTTGGCTCAAAAGTTAACAATATACTTTGTAAGCTAAAAAACAATCAAAAGTAGGAAAAGAGTAAATCGTAATCAAATATAATAATCCTAGAGATGCAAAGATGATAATATTGTTGTAGATCTAGTATTGCAAAGAGGCAGTATGAACTCAATAAGATACGTTCGTTTGAAGTAGAGATAGAGAGAGAAAGCCAGAAAAATAAGAGAGTTGTATTAGATCAGATGCCCTTTTTACAATGTGAATGTCTCCTTTATATAATAGGAGACCTTCCTCGAAAGAATCAAAAAGTTACAAAGATAGGTAACGTCTCCCTAGTGAAGACATTGAGTCCTAAACGATGTCGCTTTTGCCCCCACGGCCGAGTCGTACCCGCTACGTTGGCAGGCGTACACTTATTGGGCGTACCCACTGGCGTAGAGATGCTCAGAGTCAAATTTAACCCTATACAGTTAGTCCCTCCGCTCGTTGGTGACGCATTCGGTGGGCGTCTTCGATGGGCAGAAACGTGAACCTCGGCTTAGGAGAATTTGACCTCGACCCGGGGCGGCAATACGGATGGAGTGAAATATATGACGTTGTTGAGCCACTGACGCGCGGCTTCCTTTTTGGAATGACGTCATCGCCTGTATGCGTCATTATTATATTTGCCCCCGAGGCGGTTCAGAGGATGATGTGACATTTTGGTTTCCGGGGCACGTTTTGAATCATGACTCTTCGATTCCTGTGCAACTTATCCCTATAAGTATGAGAGAGGTTCGATTTGATTCCATTTTCAATCCTTCCGAAAGCATTTTCTGATATACCCCTTTGTCTTTCTTTACTGTAACCGTTATTTTGTGAGGGACTCTCCCACTTCTGTTGAAACCACACTTCCTATCGTCAGTGCTTCGTTTCTTAAGTAGTATAATCATGACAAAACGCGGACAGGGTAGTAAAAAGGCCAAAGATAATGCCTCGTCTAGGGTTCCACCATCTTCCGGTGGTGAAGGGGAAAAGGGGGAGAAGGCCCTTGTTCCTCTCAGCGTAGACAACGTCCTTCCGAAGGAGACGCATGTTCGCAGGGATTTTCCAACTAAAAGCCCTGACCTTCCCTGGGAGCACAGCGTTTTATTACAATCTCATTTAGATGACCTTCGAGAGACGCACCATATTCCGGACCACGTGGAAATGGTTCCGGCAGGGACGGACTATGCCAATGTGCACCGGCCTGGATATTGCACGTTCTATGAGTACCCGTTCTTGATCGGTTACAATCTTCCAATCTATCCTCTGATGGAGGAGCTTTGCCGTTTTTATAATGTGTGTCCGGCCCAGCTCACTCCTTATACCTTGAAGGTGTGCCGTATTATGACCACTTATGCGGCCAGGGCTGGATGCAGCGTCTCGGTTCACCACCTCTTACAGTTATTCAGCGCTGGTTACCTGAGGGGTACCATGCTGCAGTTAAAAGGTCGGGGCACAAGGGGCTTAGTTGTTAAAGCCGATGATAAGCCCAACCGCCGCTTTTGGCGTAAGTATTTCTACATCAGGACGGAGCACCTGGTGTCGAATCCCGAAGGGTTCCCGGAAAGATGGAATCCAGAACGTAAGTATTTCTATTTGTAGAATTCAGGGCCGCTTGCGCTTTTGACCATACGACCATTGTGATTTCTTTGCTTTTCTCCCTTTTTTATTCGCAGCGAGGGCTTCTCCACCCCAGCTCATTGATGACATTAAATCGTGGGTGGAAAGAATAATACCTTATGCGGAGGAATGCCGTACCTAGGCTGCATTTCTTCAACAGTACGGCCCGCCAGGTAATTCTTTGGCTACGATTTGGGAATTCCCTACGCTCTCGTTTCCTGACTTATTCGTGTTGGCAGGTCGGAGCGCTCCTAAGAAGAAGAAAAAGAACGTCGTCACCTTACCTGGGGCGGGGAGTGATTCTGAAGATGGGTATATACCCTGTGGTTCGCCTAGTGAGGGCGCTGCGGGGGTTCCTCAACCGCTGCCCGTGGTGGCATCCATGAGGGGAGCGACTCCTTCAATGCCATCCCCACGGGCTGTGGAGGAGAATTCTGAGAGTGAGGAGCCGCCCGAAAGGAAAAGACATCGGTTGATAACCGGCAAGGGGATAGCCTCAGGAGACGAGGGGGTGAGCGAGCCCCATCGGGAGTCAAGGCCAGTTTTTATGGCGGATGCCATCCGTTCCGGGAGGTCGGCTCCCCAAGGGGGGGCGGTTCTCGACGCCAGCCCACCACGTATTCCGGAGAGCGGCTCGCCGGCTGCCGTTGGAGAAGCAGGTGATGATGCCGAGAGGGTGGGCCCTAAGGCCACCCAGGCGGATGCAGATGCGTTAACGCGGGGTCCGGCCCGTGTGGAGATGACGGCAGGTAGATCTAACCGCCGAATTCTGATCCCAGGAGAGTATAACCTATTGCAACACAGCGAGCAGGCCGCAACGGATATGACCCTACTATGTGCGGCCACTGAGCGTGAAACGTTACAAGGGGTTAGCGACGGGGAACTATCCCGGAGGGTTGCCGGCGCGGCCTTGCAGGCATTTTTCGATTTTCTTCATATACCGTAAAGTAAACTTTGATGCATACTGACTTGCCTTTCCTCTTTTTCCTCTCTTTTTTTAGACTCTCATATTGGAGATAGAGAGGGGGCGGGGAGCGCAAAGGAAGGCAGCCACCTTTAACAAGGTGGTGAAGAAATATCGGCGGTGCCGTGTCAAGCATCAGGCGCTGGCGGACCTACTCAAACAGGACCCGGAATTTTGGGTTTTCCGTGAGGGTTTGGAGCAGTCGGAGGCCCAGCTGAAACGGAGGGTGGCCGAGTTGGAGCAGATCGACAAGCAGCTGATGACCGCCCTGGCTCGGAACATTGAGCTGGAGACTCTTCTCCAGTCTAAGGAAGAAGAGTTGGAGGTTAGCTGTGGGGTAGCGGCGGAAGCTGCTGATTTGCGGATCAAGGTTGCCGCTATGACCGCCGAACTCGATGCCAAGGCAGCTGAGATTGAAGTCCTCAAACGGACTGCTGCACCAAGGCCTGATGAGGATGCGCATCGTGAGGCGCATGACATGTGGGTGTACGCCGAGGCCAGATTGGTCGTATTCGAGGAGTTCTTAGCTGCGGGTCGAGCTACTGAGGCGGAGGTTCAAGAGCAACAGCGCATAGTCCGTGTCGCCCGTGAAACTTGTGGGTATAGTTCTGATTCCCCAGACCGGGCGGGCTATAACTCCGAAGACGTCAGCCGTCTAGAATCCGGCTCTTGGATCTCTGCGGCCTATCAGGCCGAGG